AGTTCAAATTCCTAAAGAGGTCTGACCATATCACCCTCCATTTAGTAAACTTCAGTGTCTCCCTATTATTCCCAGGATCACATATAAAATCCTTTTTTTTTCTGTTTTGTTTTGGGCTTTTTTTGGAGGCAATTGGGGTTAAGTGACTTGACCAGGGTCACATAGCTTAATAAGTGTCTGAGGCCAAAGTTGAACTCAGGTTCTCCTGACTCCAGAGTCAGTGCTCTATCCATTTTGCCATTGAGCTGCCCCTACTGTTCAGCTTTTCAAATCCTTCATAACCTAGCTCAGTATTCTTGCACTTTCCTCCCTTCCACACATACTTTGCAATCCAGTGACACTGGACTCCCTACTGTTCCTCAAGCAAAACACTCTTATCTTCCAACTCCAGGCATTTTTACTGGCTGTCCCCTTATGCCTGGAATTCTCTCCCTCTTCATCTATCTCCTGGCTTCCTTCCAGTATCAGCTAAAATCTAACCCTCTACAAGAAGCCTTTCCTGATCACCTTCCCTCTGTGTTTATCACCAATTTATCATGTATAGATCTTGTTTGTACAGTTATTTATGTTGTCTCTTTTAAAAGGTTAAATGATTTGGGTGACCCAGACATTATATGTCAGAGGCAGTAACTGAACATAGGTCTTTCTCTTTTCAAAGATACCTACACTACACCACACTATCTATCTTAGCTTAACTTAGACAAATCACCTAGCAAAGGAGGAGGCTGAAGGCACAGTCTTAGTGGTTTCCAAAAATCCTAGAATGCATTTCTTGCTATCATTTCTTTCTGATTCCAAAAAGCCTATAATATAGGTTGTTCAAGGTTGTTATTATTTCAAGTCTTGGGCAGGATTAAGCAGACAGATGGGGGAGCATGACCTATCTTCAAATGAGTCCAAGTGTTTTGCAAAGATATAAGCCTTGCTCATTGCCAGTCTCAAATCAGCCTTATGGTCAGTATTTCAGGATCCACGTTGCTAGAATCAAAGATTTAAATCTGTTTGTCAAATGGCAACTTCTATCTGTGCCTGGTGCATAAAATCTTCACAATTTGATTGATCTTTAAGATCTCAGATGATTTCCCAGGTGCTTCTGCCCATTTCTGCTATGATGTTTTAAATTTATTCTGATACGACATTTATTCATGTACCTTTGAATAGGTGTAGGTATACAATTGAGATAATTTGCCCCACGAGCTCAGGATCTTTCTTTTCCTTATGGACTTTTGTGATTCAGTGGGATTAAAATATGAATCAGTGGATATTGTAAAGGTCTGGTGGATAGAGTGGTTGTCCTGGAGTCAGGAAAACCTGAGTTCAAATCCTGCCTCAGATACTTACTAGGCTTGTGACCCTGGGTAAGTCACTTAACACTGTTTGCCTCAGTTTCCTCATCTGTAAAACAAGCTAGAGAAGGAAGTAGCAAACCACTCCAGTATCTTTGCCAAGAAAATCCCAAAAGGGATCACAAAGAGTCTGCCGCAACTGAAAATAACTGAACAGTACAACAGTAGAGGGTTCTTAACTCTTATCCAGATCCACAGTGGATAGAGCAATGGGCCTGCAGTTAGGAAGACGAGTACAAATCCAGTCTCAGACACTTATTAGCTGTGTGACCTTGGACAAGTCACACTCTGTTTGCTTCAGTTTCTTGAACTGTAAAATGGGTACCTACCCTGGAGGGTTATTGTGAGAATCAAATGAGATAATATTTGTACAGTGCTTAGCACAGTGCCTGGCTATATCAATGCTAATTTCCTTCCCCTTCTCCAAAGAGTAATAATGGACAAATTCTGTTTGGCAATTCCCTTCTGCAAAATGTCAAGTACAATAATGACCATCTCAAAGAGAAAGCAGAGGTCAGGAGTACCTAATTTGCTGCAAAACAAAATAGTATAATAACTCTTTCCCTGCCTTTTAACTATACTAGGTATTCAGAAAAAAAAAAGAAACTTTTAGAAGAGACAGTGTACTTTTTCAGCAAAATCTGCATGAGACATATAAACTTAATAAATTTGATAAGGCCACACTCCCACAAAACAATAAACATAACAGAATTATTCCTTATTCCCATCTATAGAAATAGAAGAGAGGAAAGTATCCTGAGTCAGTTCAGGTACTATTACCCTTGCACAAAACTAGTCACGTGAGGGTACTTTCTGACACTTATCACATGAAAAATAAATGGGCCTATGCAGGAAAGCTTTTTTTTAAAAAATGCTAAGGCTATCTCTTTTGCACTAAATTCCTAAAACATATGATTTCTCCTTAGCTTAATGGTGGACTAAAATGAGGCCAATAAATAGTCACCTATGATAATGCGAACTGAATTACCTGCTCTGAGGAGTCCTGGCACATACCAGTGCCAGCCCTTCAGCCACTCAATTAAAAAAAAAAAGTCTTCTCTTATACCTCAGTTTTCTTACCCTAAAGATGGGATCTAAGATATCAGGGGGGAAAGGAATTATATATTTTTTCTAGTTGTTCTGTTGCAACAATGGACAATGGACGTTCTATAGACAATATTCAACGTGTCATATTAACTATTTGTAACATCCTAGCATCTCTTCTTTATACAAGAAAGAGAACTGAGCAAGGGCAAGATATGGGAAACAACTCTGGACCAATACATTTTTAGCCTTGGCTGTATAGTTCATTACTGAGTAGTACACACTTTAAGGGTTCAAAAGGTAAGGATTTCCAACCAAAAGATCTGTATCAGAATCTAATAGTCCACTGGAGTTAGTCAACAAGATTCTTAGATGGCTACTACTCCCTGTGTGACTTATTGAGATATCAAATACATCCCTCAAAATACTGAAAATCGAAAGTATTAGTAAGATACCACCGCATATCCATCAGATTGGCTAAAATGACAGAAAAGAAAAATGGAAAATGTTAGAGGGGAAAATGCATGTGGGGAAAATAGGTACACTAATACACTGTTGTGGAGTTGCAAACCATTCTGGAAAGCAATTTGGAACTATGTCCCCAAAAATTATTAAACTTTTAATTTAATTTAATAAAAACTTTTGTTTTATTAAATGAAGGGCCCCAGGAGGGCCCCTTTGACTTTACTAGGTCCATGCCCTAAAGAAATCAAAGGAAAAGGAAAAGGACTGGTATGTACGAAAATATTTATAGCAGCTCTTTCTGTGGAGGCAAAGAATTGGAAACTGAGGGGATGCCCATCAATTACAGACTGGCTACACAAGTTATGGCATGTGAATACCATTGTGCTGTAAGAAATGATGCAGAGGATGGTTTCAGAAAAGCTTGGGAAGACCTAAATTAGTTGATGCAAAGTGAAGTGAGCAGGGGAACAAGTTACATGGTAACAAAAATACTGTAAAGATAATTACTGTGAATTTACTCTGATCAACATCATGACTCACCATAGTTCAAAGGACTCATGATGAAAAATGCTATCTCCTGATGGAGAACTGATGGACTCAGAGTTCAGATTGAAACATTATTTTTTCTCTCTTTTTCTTGTTTTGTTGTTCCCAAAACATGGCTAATGTAGAAATTTGTTTTGTATAATTTCATATCTGTAATGGGCTTTGAATTTTCTGCTTTCTCTCATTTTATTTTTAATAGTATTTAATTTTTCTCCAATTACATGTAAAAACAAATTTTAACATTCTTTTTTAATTTTGAGTTCCAAATTCCCTCTCCCCCTCCCTTCCTCTCCTTACTCAGACAGTAAACAATCACGTAAGTTACACACGTACAATCATGTAAAACAAATTTTTTGCCTTCTCAATGGGTAGGAAAAGGGGCAAGGGGAGGAAGAGAATCTGGAATTGAAAATAAGATAAAAATGAATTTTCAATAATATTAGAATAGCAATCTCAACAAAATGTTGGAGAAGGTAAAGCTTGAAGCTCAGCTCTGTCATGTAGTCCTCACCTTGCTTCACAAAATAAGTATTAAGCAGAGACCCATTTGGTCCCAGAAATGACCTATCGTTTTAAGGCCAATGATATGAAATAACTGCCACATATGTAGCATCTTTCTTCTAAATTAACACCCCCATGTGCTTTGCAAATTAGCTCCTCACTCACTTCTGAAATCTGTATTTGAAACTGTCCTAAAAAAAAAAACCCAAACACTCCTGTGCCACCACTCTCCATTTTTTTTCAGAACTACTGGCCATTAGAAACTGTCATCTCAGGCCTGCGGAAAAAACCTCACACAGTTTTATATGCAATTTTATATATGGGTAAGGAGGTGTAAGGAAAGTGATGTAAGATGAAATACCAAAGTCTTCTAGCAGCCAGTACTTGGCAGTAGCTGAGTACTGACTTATTTATGCAGGGAAAGACAGAAGCCATAGTCTCCCCAAATAGCTAAGAAACAACCTCAGGGAAGTGGGTGGCAGAGATGCCATACACCATTGTTTCAGGTACAAATGTCTTAGTTTGCTGAACTAACTGGGCTGGATCTTGGGGCCTCGGTTTCTACATTACTCCACCACACCCAGGCTCTGTCTATTCCAGAAACTGGGTTTCTTTTAAGGTTGAGCCTAAAAGAAAGATCTCGGTCGCTATAGTTAAACCAGTGTAAATTTGCTGGGGGAAGGGTGGAAGGAGTGGTGGTGGTGGTGGTGGAGAGGCCTGTGTGCTCAATTCTGCCTCCAGAAGGAGACACCCCTAGTTGTACTCAGAAGGGAGGGCATAAAAGGCACAGACACTTTCTTTGGGGGAGAATTGAGAAGTGAGGGGAAGGAGGGAAATAAAGCGGTTACAACCTGCCTAAGTCCCCTAACCCCAAGAGGGAAAAGAGACAACCCAAAAGGCCAAAGACTAGACTGAAGAAGATGCCTGGGCTCTGGATGCAAGCTTGGTAGCAACAAAAGGGCAATCTGAGGAGAGAGCAAGAGAAGAGGGTCCAGACAAAAGATGGGAAGAGACGGCGAGTTCGGGCCAACCGGAAGAAAGAAGGGAGCGAGGGCCGCACCCAGAGGAGCCGGGTGTACCCGGTGTCTGCACGCATACCTGCCTCGCTTCTTCCTCCTCCGGCTGCGGCTCCTCCTCCTCCTCCTCCTCCTCCTTCCCTGCCCTCACCCAAGGCTCCTCTAGCTCGTACGATGCGGATCCGCGCGTCTGCACCTCTTCGGCGCCCGCGGAGGGCCGGGCCTGCTTTGGGAGAGCAGGAAGCTCGGAGCTCCGGGGCGCACGGGCTTGGCTCCGCCAGAGCCACAGCGAGGCGAGCAGCAGCGCCAACGCGGTCCCCCAGAACGGCAGCGCGGCCAGCAGCTCCGCCAGCGCCTCCATCCCCCGCCCGGGATGCAGGGCAGGGGTCCCGGGCTTGGGGGCCTGGATCCCGTCCCACCTCGAGGCGGAGCCCGGGGGCCGGCGTCGGGGGGGGGGCGGGGACTGCGGCCCCTGGTGCACTCGGGGCCAGAATTCCGGCCGCAGCGCGGCGGGCCTCTCCTCCCCCGGCGAGCTGTGCCAGCGCTCACTGTCTCGTTTCAGCCTCCGCTCTCCTTGAGCCCCAACCCCGTCCCCTTCAACCTGTTCAGGCCTGCACACCCCAGAGAGTCGGGTAAACCGCGGGGTTGGGGACCCGGAAGCCGAAAGCTCGGCTTTGAGCTGTCCAGTATGCTTCACAAGGCGATGTTCCTCCCATTGTTTTGACTTGATAGGTGTCTGAGGAGGGTTTTATGGTTAGGGTACCCACCAGCAAACTGACATAGACCCTAAATGTTCTCAACTTCACTGGCCGCGCTGTAGGCCCACGGCCACTCAAGTTGATACCCCAAGAATCAGGTTCAGTATTCTGAACTATAGGATCATACACAGTTCAACAACTGGAAAGGACCACGAAGACACCGCCCCCCCCCTCGCCGCCATTTTACAAAATAGGGAAACTGAGGCCCGAGGAGGTTGAGTGATTTAGGCTCCTAGATATTGCTGTGGATAGTGTGATTTACTTGAACTCCGGAAGTCCCAAGTTCAAATCCTGCCACACTGATTGGCTCTGTGAACCTGAGCAAGTCATTTAACCTTTTCCTCACCTATAAAAACGAGAATACCACCCACAATGCAAGCCTTAAAGTGCTATATAAACGCTATTATTAGTATTATTATTGTTCAAAGTCACACATGTAGCATTAGAGGGGAATTGAACCCCTAACTACAGAGTTAGTACTTTTTACTATACTATGCTGAAAATTTTATTTATTCTGAGAATTCTTTTTGGCAAAGAAGATGCTAGCCAAAGCTCAATAAGAACCTAGTTAGGGAAGCTAAAATCAGACAGTTTTTAAGCAGTCAAGGAAGGGCAGAAATCATTTGTAAACAAAATTGTCATTGCGATATCAACTGAGATACTGATAAAGCAGTTCTTGTACTCTATAGGATTACAGTATCTGTGTGTATAGCTATCATTTGATTTTTGGCAGCACTACAGCAATGTATTGGTTTGTGTTCCACCATGTTGGCTTCAACAACAGGCTTCAGGGTAATACCAGTTCTCACAAAAATCAGCAGTGGTTTTTGGAATTTGGCCCTACTTATCTGCAATTTCTTAGTCAATACACATCATTTCATTCCTTGACTGGCTCGTTTTCACAATTCCTGAACGGGGAAGTATAACAGAAGGTATTTCCTCAATGGCCTATGACATTAAATTGACCAGTCTTGGGTCTTGCACAGAAGTAAATTAACATTCACATCTACCTGTTTTAGTGAACATCCTCCCCTGAATTAGACTTTATAAATACATTATGAAAGTAATGTCATCCTGTGTAGAACAATAAGATTTCCATTTTTACATCAAACTGCATCTGATGCTATCTGGCAAATTAGAGTCTGAGTTAAATTGGACAAGATTTCAGGATGTGATGGTGGGGGGAATATAAGGTAGAAATGGAGTTGAAAAACATAGGCTCAAGGCATGGAACGAATCTCATTGTTACTTACAATCTAGTTGTTGACTGATCAATGCAGCTAACATTCTCGAGGACCTAAACCAAGTAGATTTATATCCAAAACTTCCTCTCCTGGTACAGTTTCCATGCAAAACGGTGAATCTCATTGTTACTTACAATCTAGTTGTTGACTGATCAATGCAGCTAACATTCTCGAGGACCTAAACCAAGTAGATTCATATCCAAAACTTCCTCTCCTGGTACAGTTCCGTGCAAAACGGAGATGTGCACCTCCTCTTATTGGGAGCTAATACATAATGCTTTAGGACAACAGTACTAGATTATAGGTTATCCTAATCCAAAACAGCAATTTTAGGTCTATTATCTTGTGGTGTAGTACACATGTTATACAAGTCTTCAGACTTTAATTTTATATTTGGAGGACAAATAAACAGTAATTGCATTGTATAAACCTAAATGAATAATGAAGGGAAGCAAAGAAAAAACCCAACCCTAAATTAATATTTTATTTAAAATAAGGAACAAATTTAACCCAGGTAAGACAAGAAAGTTCTGATTGATGTGGGAGGATGAACAGAGGGCAATTACATTTCCTCTTTAGTATCCTGTCACCATGGAGAACTTATGCGACTGCTAATTCTTATTAGAGATCCGAGGGTTGTAGCAAGGGCAGGTGGGTGGTGGTGAAAAGAAATTTCTTCTGACAGATGAACTTTGGTCATGGCATGAGCAAACACTGTCTCAGGGCACTACCATAATAAGCACAAAGACCCTAGGGCACACACTGACTGCTACTTGCTACTGACAGTTGATAAATGCCATGAAATGAGAAACCAGGTTCTTGCAGTGTTACTTTCTATACAATACATATTAAGCGTGATGTTAAAACAAAACTTGAAGAAATTGTTTTTCAATACTATATACAAATTTAAATGACACAACATTAACTTTAGCTTTAATATGCCTAACATGGACTAACATGCTCCATTTAACATGTATAATCAATATCAAATTGCTTGCCTTCTCAAGGAAGGGGGAGGGACAGGAGAGAATTTGAAACTCAAAATTTTAAAGTTACTTAAAAAATTTACATGTATTTGGAAGATATTTAACAAAATAAATGATTTCTTTAAAAATAAATTTTAAAACTGTCCTAATCAATCACAAGGTTTTTGCTCATTAGCTAGTAGGCAATAGTATGAAACTATCACTTTTTGTCTGATCTTTAGGCTAAATGCTTATAACATTGTTCTCATTGTCCAATTTATAAGCTCAATTCCATGTTAGCTTTTTTTGTAATATAAAAAGTGATCATACTTTCAGTAGGGCTCATTTCTCTTTTTCCAGTAGTGTGAACAGATCTGCACACATCTATCCATTCTGACTGGTATCCCTTGACAGTGGTCTATATGCTAGCTTTTACACTTTTGCCTTTAGCAAAAAACACCACCACAACCTGAGTATCTCCAGGTGTAGACTAAAATCTGAGTAACACCTTGTTTATAGCTGATCTACATTCAGTGTCAGATAAATATATAACCCTCTTACTACTGATTGGCACATGAGGCAAGTGTTGGACTGAAGATGAAATAGGTTGCAACCTCTTGCCAAAGGGGTGATAGACTTAAAAATGAAGAATGAGATGTTCATTTTTATTTTTGGACACAACAAATGTGGGGATTTGTTTTGAGGGTTTTTTCAATTTAAAAAAAATTGTTCAATAGTGGGAGAAAGGGAAAGTGGTAATAAAAATATTTTAAAAATTCAACAACTTTGCCTGGAGTTAGGAAACCTGGCCTTTGGGAACCCAAAACATGAAGGAATCTTGATGTCTTTGTACTGTTCTTTAACTGCCTGGGAGCTCATTGCAGCATCCTCTATCCTGTCCTTCCTAGCAGGACTTTCCCCTTCCCTTTCTTCTCCTCTCCCTCCCCACCCCCCCCAACATTTACAAAGTCTGTGTTCCAGTTTCTCAATTTCCCTTGTCTCTGTTTCCCAAGATATCAGCTAAATGGCTTATGCTATTTATTTAGTAGGAAAAACAGAATGAAAGAAATTTCAAGTTAAGATAACAAACTAGTAGAAGGTGGTTACCCCTGTTGGTGGAAAAGTATTTTATTTACTGATAATCAGTTTTTATTTTTAAATAAATGTAGATGAGGATTTAGTTGGTAGGGAATTAAGTAGAAGGTATTTAAAAAGGCAGGTACAACTACTAGACATTTGGAAACAAGGTAGTGTTTATGGTATTTAAGAGCGTTATTAGATATCAAGTACAAAGTCAGTTTAAATGCCCAATGATTTACTTCGTCCACAAACATTCACAGTTAAAGGTTATCCACTCATCCCTAGGTATTGCAGTATATCCATGTAACTATAAGGGACTACAGCAGCATACCATGGCTTGGGGCTGAGGTGCCAAGCAGCCTGCAGGGTGACATATCGATTCCCTCAATTCCCAACATGAAACAGTATCCATTGGAATCCACCCCTGCTCTAGCAACTGCTCAGCAAACAGCAACTTTAACAGAAGAACCAAGCTTACACAGGAAGAGATGATCACCCTCAGAATAAAGCCAGAGTGGTCCAATAGTAAAAGTAATTAAGACAGCTACAAATCTAGTATTTTACAGTAAATGACCTGAATTTCTTATATGAATACCAACTTTTTTGGACACCCCTAGTTCCCAAGTGCTGAGAAGCATTCAAACTATTCAAAACTTACAGAAAGTTTGTTTCATGAAACCAGATAATGCTAATACACACATAGAAAAACTCCATTGACACTGGAAACATTTTTGTGAACAGACAGTATTTCAAAACAAAAAATTCTTACATGAAAATGAAGAGTGGCTATTATTGGGCCAAATGGCTCCCTTTATTGCCCCATACTGTTCTTCCTTCCTCATTTCTTACACTGCTTGAACACATCACACACAGGGGACAGGTTAAGGCAAGTAGATGAATCAGCAGAGGGGAAAGATGGAATCTGCTGGCCAGTCCCAAAGTAATATGTTGGTGTTAGATTGCAACTGTACGAAAATGGACTCCCAAAATACTTGAAGAATCAAATGGAAAAAACAATCAGGATTTAGCCCACATACCTATGGATTTTTTTGGCAGAAAGGATAAAGTGTTAAGGTTGGAGCAAAATGTTGCTGGCCTGACACCTATCTGCACTTTAGTAAGTTAGCAAAAATCCTATCTTGAACAGAAATTTATTCATTCAATAATCATAAAGTCAACTCAACTGAAAATTAATGTCTCTAGTTACCTTCCATGACAGTTAAGGAAGTTTCCTTAACGTTGATTAAATGTAAAGTTGTAAATAAGAAGACAATAGCAACCCTACTTGTCTTTAAACAAATTATTTTTACCTTCCTTAAGTAATGGAAAAGAAAGCATTGAACCTTCTTACCCAATACCACATTAGCCTTGAGAACTCATGAAGCTTTTAGGCTTCTTAATCCTTTCTTA